TATTATAGAAGAATTGGAGGCGATTTTCTTGCTTCTTTTTTTATGGACTGTTTAGTAACAATTGTTACAAAATATATTAAAAAAGATTGTGCTACACTAATAATTTCAGTTAGTCCAGAAATACCTTATTCGACCTTTTTTGTGTTATATTGTCAGATAAAATTGAATTTTGTGTGAATTCATCAGAGATTTGCATGTTGAAGAGAAAACAAGGGGGAAGATTAAACAAATCAAGAGATAATGCAAGTTTTGAATTAGTGTGTAGGTGTGTGAGTGCATGAGCACATGCACCTTTAGTGTGATTGAATTACACAGGGTTAATTAGATTGTGCAGTCCACAGTAATGGGTCAGACACACACACCCAAGGACATCTTTCATGAGGGATTTTTCCATCGTGTTACTGGTGCAGTTGTCATCTGTGTCTTCATTCAGTGGTTCCTGGGTAGCTGCTGAGCAGAGTGGAAGACAGTACGTATTTATGACACATATCTACTTTTGCTCAGCAGCTCTGGATTAAAATATTGCAGTCTAGCAAAGAAAGCTTACTGGTTAAACATCTATCTTCTCTGCAGAAACTAACCCATTGTCATAAAAGCAATTATATTGCAAAAACTGAAAATATTTTATAATTAGTCTTTCTACTTTGAGCATTTCCATAATTGATGCTCATTTATATTTGAAGAGGCACATTGACATTTTTATTACCACTGGAAGAAATGGGTCAGAAACTTGAGTGTTTTTGCTGCGTGCGGCAGGAGGGTAGTAAACCACAGCTGTGTTGAGTGTTTCAGCACATTATTGCACTTGGTGTTGATTGGCCTACCAGTAAAACTCTCACACATTTTAACACTTGCTGCTGATAATTAAACTGATTTTTTTTTTCCCTTAAATTAATTGGTTTACATGTGGGTCTGCACAGATTGAGAAACAGAAATTATGAATGTTAATGAAAAATGTGTAACAGTGAGATTATGATAAAAAAAACGATCCTGACATTTTGAGGGAAATCCCTTTTAGAATATGTGTTTTTTACTTTACTCTGTGTCTCCAGTAGTTCAGTAACATTTCATTCCAGGAGCTAATAAAAGCTTAATGACTTCTTGAAATCGCTGCACCAGTGATGCCACATCACACCACTGCTGAGCCACTCGAATGTCACTTTGTGAAGTCATCACTTGTGTTTAATGAGACCGTTCAGTTCCAACTCACCTATTTTTCCACCTACAGCAGAACATAAAAATCGGAAAAGTCAGATCTCCCAAACACAATGAGCCATTCTCTGTCAACGTTCATCTGAGTAACACAAGTACATGAATTACATGATGTTAAATACTTTATTTAATCCTGTTTGTGTGATGGTTACACAGCAGACTTAATGTCATTATCATCTCGTAAGGACGGGAGAAGGAAAGGCATGGTCAAAACCAAGGTTCTGGACTTTCCATATATCAGCCCAGTGACTTAAATAAGTTTGATGTTAGGACCACTGAAATTTATTATTGTCAAAAAAAAAAAAAAGTCAAGCAAACTTTGTTATAGAGTGGGATTCATTTATACAGCATGTGCATATTCCCAATAGCTTTTATGAAAATTATTAGGATAGTTTAAAAACTCATTAGCTTTTGTTAACATCAGCCCTGCAGGATGCGTTTATCATAATAATGTTTGAATCCACGTCTTTTACTTCCTGCTTAGCCAGTAAACTTAATCACTTTTGTGTTTTGTTGAACGCTGATATCTCAGAGTAGATCAACTGAAACCCAGGAAGACTCAAGAGACCGAATAAGGTATGTAGCAATAAATTAATTTGCAATATATGCAAACAATATTTACAAGGGTAACTTTGAAGAAAATGGGTGAGTATCTATGGGAGCAGAATGTAAATGGTTAGTGTTTTATTTAAGGCAGAGGATCTTCTGGAAGGTAGTGGTAGTGGAACAGGCTTACTCCAGTTGTAGGTGTTCATGCTTGGAGCTGAGGGTGAGATGCCAGATTCCAGGAAGGTGAGCATGGTGAGATTTACAGGTGAGTATATGAGTGGCAGGGAGTGATGGGGAAATGATACGGAGGCGTCGGAGCTTCTGTCACTCTTCCTGAAGCAGAGTGGTTCATAACACCGTGTCGGAGCATGTGTCAGAACACCACCGTCACATGACTAGTGACGTTCGAAGCTTCAGACGTCGTCACTGTTTCATTTTGCTCAGAAAGTTTCAGTGTGTTATGAGCCAATCACAGTTTTACAGATTTGAATGCCTTGGTGCTACACAAGCTATTTAAGATGCATTGTTGCTCCTAAAATAGGATGAGCTGTAAGGAGATGGAATTATGGAAAGTAAATTGAGTGTAGCTTGGTGATTTTCAGTAAACTGCTTTCAAAGGTTTGGGATCTGTTTGAACTTATTCCTCCAAATAAAGTACAGTGATGACCAGGACCTACAATTCATGCTTTAATGACTGAATTGCATTTTTCTTTTTTTTAAATGGGTCTCAAAATTATATTAGGCATTCGCACTGCACAAAGAAGATGTTTTATATAGCACATTTAAAACAGGAACTGTTGCCAAAGTGCATTTGTTTTACGTGTATAATACATCCATGCTGACACACAAACACACCGGTATACATATATATATATATATATATATATATATATATATATATATAT